GGGCCGGGGCTCAGCATTTCAGCCCAGGCCTCCCGCACCTCTTCCTAGAAGTGACGGAGAAGAGGCAGCACAGCTGATCCTAAACCTTACAGTCCCCGGGAACCGAATTCCATTTCACCGTGACCTCTTTCTAGGGTGTGACACTGGGCAAACACTTCCTAACTTCTCCAGCTGCCAGCTTCATGTGCGCCATGGGAATGCCCACCCCAGCTTCACAGAGTCACCTTTACCACTCGATGAAATAAAATATGTGCACATGGTGGACAGGCCAGAACTGGAGCTTTAATTGTTCCGCTGCTGTTGTTGTTATTACATACCCTCTACAAAAATGCAGAGAAATTATTTTGATTCTGTTAAAAGTGTGACATGATATGGATTTTCATTCCATAAACAGATTCGCATACTCTGCTTCCTAATTAGACTGTATCTGTCATGTCTGTAATTTCTGTGTAATTAAATTGAAATTAAATGTCAATTTACTTTGAATTACAGAGTAATTCTATGTATACAGGCCACACAATCTGCATTTTGTTAGAAGATGACAACCAAAAATATCCTGACAGTCCCTCTGTAATTACACAGTGATCGGATTAAGATCAGTGTGACAAAATACCTGCCAAGACCTGAAGGAGAAAAACCACGAGCGGGTGGAGGGGTCGGCAGAGGTTAGATGCGGGGGGAGCGGGGAGAGTATGAGGTCACCCATGGCCTTGCCACTCCCCAGGAACCACGAAATCCTGGATCAATGGCAATCACTGTTGCAGGCAGTAGAGGTGATCCTTCAAAAGAAAAAAAAATACCTTAATTACAGAGCATGCTAACAGATACTGCTTCCTCTTCACTCCATCCCAGCTGTTGTAATTAGGCTGGTGCCTGAAGTCTTGAATCCCCTTGCCTCAAAGACAGTGATAAATGTAAAGAGAATACTTCAAACCTCCTCCAGAAATTTAATTTTTTCTGTAATATACAAAATGGCTTCCATCCTCTGATTTTAAAAAAAATAGACTTTATCTTCTTTATATTCTATTCTTTTATACCAGCAAGCACGTTGACATTTATATCATTCTTGAACACAAATGGCAATGGAAAAAGATGAGGTAAGCGGGTACCAGGGAAGGAGAGCCCGGTCTGCTGAGATGCTCACAGCAAATGTGCAGCACAGAAATGGAAACGCAGCCACCTATGCTTCCCCCGAGTCTACTTCCCCCAGATCCACTCCGTGGCCAAGGAAGTCACTTCCTCTCAGCCTCCCTTTCCTTGGCTTTGTCCCTGGGTGCCGTCCGCACCCAGATGTGGCTTATTTCTGACAGTTAACCAATCTCTACCCTGGCACTCCTTTGAGATGAGGACCAGTTAGTTCCCATTCATTCAGCAAAAGGTTCCTTTTCTGCTCCCGAGGCCCCAGACACTCTCCTTCCTGGTTGAGTCTGCAGGACCCCCAGTGGCAGTCCTCAGAGGTGGGGTGACAGGTCCACTGAAATACAGGCCAGCAGTGCACCAGACAGAAGAGGCCAGTCACAGGACCCTGAGTCACACCCTACCTGCTGCAGGAGGCACTACGAACAGCATGAAAACCAGAGGCCTGGGTTACAGAACAGGCTGTATCACTAGCTATGATGCCAAATAAGTCATTCCGCCTTTATGAGCCTTGGTTCTCCCCAATATAAATGGAAATTAATATAAATTATCCCAACTATTGCAGAGCGTTGTTGGAAGGACAAATCAGCCAATGTAGATGAAAATTCTGGAAAGAGTAAAGCCCTGTACAGGTTGGTTGCTATTGTTCACATCAGGGGAGGTATTTTAGTCAAGAGTTCACTCTCTTGAAGATGATACCAAATCCAGCCTAAGGACACGGGAGTAAAGAGGAGAATTGGGTTTGGGGAACTTTTGTAGCTAAAATGACCAGGGTAGGTGCAGCTTTAGCCTAGCCAGGTTCAAGGATCACACCATGCCCTCAGACTCACTTTCTGGGCAGCTCTGGGCTCCGTCTCAGCTGCGTGCCCTCATTCTCAGGCTCCATGCAGCGCCCCAAGACTGCTCCAGCTCACGTTCTCCCCTGCTCAAATTCAGTGGGGAAGAGCATGTTCCAGAAGCTCTCACGCCAGTCCCCAGGACTCATTCTGCTTTGATCCGTTGGGTCACATGTGCACCCACAAACCAATCACTGTGGCCAGGGGGATCTGGAGTCCTCACTGGCTCTGATCCCGGCTTCTGGTCCTGGAACCTCACCATCTGAACCAGAGACAGAGCGAGAAGGGAATGGCTCACCCAGGGGACTAAGAAAGAAAGAATGCAAGCTGAGCAGGCTGGTCACACACCCACTCAGAAGTCAGGAAATCTGTGGATAGACACAGGCTTAGAGCAAGAAGTAAGCAGATGAGTGCTCCAGGTTAGGACGACAGAAGCATGACTAGAGAGATTCCTGATTGAAAACAGCAGGTAACACGAGGAAATGGCAATGAGCCAGCGTGTCCCTACTTGGTGCCGCTTTGCAGCTCTTACAGAAAAGGCAGCAAGAGCAGCTACTGACTGACACAAACACAGTACCCACGTGGTCGAATGAGCTTCTGATGTGGCAGCTAAGGGTGACTTGAACTTTGCTTTCACATCCAGACACGGAACCCCATCTCTGTATTTCTACCCACTCTGAGCCCTCCCGCTACTGGCACTATCAGAGTGTTTTTCAGGCCCTCCCCTGTTTGCCACCTGACTCTGAATAACATGCCTTGCTTTCCACCATCATGTTCCCTTGCTTCCCTTTAAGTCAAAAGCTAATGCACATCCCTCACCGGCTGCTGTGGAGGCGGCATTTAACCAGCTGTATGCTGGCCCACTGGCCGAGGACATCAGCAATGTGAAACGGATTCTGATATATCTGTCTGAAAATGTTTAAGGTCACTGTGTTTGTTGCATGTGTCTCTTGTGTTCTGAATACTTCCAAATTTTGCACAATGGGCAACATGGAAAAGTCAACATTTTTCTTCTTGTCTGCCAAATTCCATGGAGCATCTAAAAAGTGCAACATTTCTATGAAAAAGAAATTGGTATAGCTGAATGTCTTTTAAACTAAGCCTAAGACTGCTCAAAATGGAAAGTCATCTATCATCTGTGATTGCCTTCTCTATTTGGTCATTTTGGAATTAAAGAGAACCCAAATGTATCTCTAGGACTTCGGCTCTGCTCATTATGAGCTTGGCTCTTCCTTGAACACTCATTTTAATGCGGCATGGTTCTCTTCATCCAGAAGGTCAACTCAGCTGTTCACGAACCAATAAATCTACATGTCTGTCCTTGTCTTTATATTTTCCTTTTTGTTTGACTAATTATTATCTGGACATGTAAAGTTAAAATTCACAGGGTATACAAAGGGATACATTGCAAAGAAAGTACCCCCAGGCCTCCTGCCCAGAGTCTATCACTGTTAAATACCTTGTATGTCTTTTCACACACATGCATGTCCTTTGCCTATACAAGCAGTTTATATACATATTTCACTTTTTCTATAAAGGACACATAGTATATATTTATACAATAGTATATCTGCAACTTGCTTTTGCCTTTTTTTTTTTTTTTTTTTTTTGCGGGTCTCTCGCTGCTGTGGCCTCTCCTGTTGCGGAGCACAGGCTCCGGACACACAGGCTCAGCGGCCATGGCTCACGGGCCCAGCCGCTCCGCGGCATGTGGATCTTACCACACCGGGGCACGAACCAGTATACCCTGCATCGGCAGGCGGACTCTCAACCACTGCACCACCAGGGAAGCCCTGCCTTTTATTTTTGAACGCTATGTCGTAGAGAGCATTCCATACGACCACTCATGAGATTCTTTTTTAAAGCTGCTACTGATGGACTGTATTTTGCTATTATAAATGATGCTGTTAGATTAAGTTTTAGTGGTAGAGTTGTTTCATAAATTCCAATGTGCATTTTATTGTATTTTTAAAATATTAAAGTCTAAAGATTTGAATATATTCACATTGTACAAAAAATATATATATATGTATGTGTGTATTTAGGAAAAAGTAAGCTTCCTGAGTACCACTGTTTGAAAGCCATTCAGTTCCCATTCCAGAGGCAACTTTCTGCTACCAGCTTCCTTTATATATGCTGAGAAATGCAGTATTCTATACCTTCCTTTCTCATTTAGCCATATATCTTGGCTATATGACTGTATACCAGCATGTAGAGAGGCTCTCATTCATTTTTACGGTGAGTAGCATTCTACAGGGGGCTGTGCCATAATTTCATTTAGCGAGTCCTTTTGACGGATTTGTAGGTTATTTCCAGTTTTTTGTTAGTTCAAACAATGCTGCAATAAATAATATTCTACACAGATCATTGGCAAAAGAACAAATATGTCCAGAGGAGGACATATTTCTAGAAATAAAAATGTTGGGTCAAAGGGTAGCTGTATTTTAAAGTATGGTAACAATTGCCAAATTGCCCTCTAAGAGGTCGTACCCATTTACATTCCCAACAGAAACTTACACGTTGCCCCATACTCTCAACTTACCAAAACATACATAATGTATTAAGAAACTTTTTGACCTTTGCCAAACTGAGAGGTTAAAGGGTATTTCATTATGGTATCAATCTGATTTAATATATTTAAAAAACATTTATGCTTCCTTTTCTGTGATCGAACTTTTCATATTCTTTGTCTTTTTTTTCTATTGGTTTGGTGTCCTTATCCTTATTGATCTTTAGTAGATTTTTACATACTAAGGAAAGCAGCTCTTTGTGTGAATTATAAGTTGCTGTTTGATATTTGTCGTTGACTTTATTTTTGTGGGTCATGCAGAAAATTTGATTTTTATATAGTCTAATAATCAGTCTATGCTGTTAAGGGTTTTATGTCATACTTGGAAATGTCTTCCCCACCTGGAGATTATTGTTTTAATTTTTTTATATCTTTTTCTGATATTAAGGTTTTATAGATTTTGCATTTAAAATTTTTATAGATATTGATAAATTGTCTTGCAAAGGGATTATACCAACCTATACTCCCAGGGACACTGAAGAAAAGATGGTTGTGTCACATCTCTGCTCACCACCTCATCCACAGCAAGTGGTGCCGGGAAGATGGGTCACTGTGCATCTGAAATCACATTTTTTGAAGCACGAATTAGAATTATGGTATAATTATTTTTGGATTTAAAAAATGTATTTATATATAAACATTCACAAAGCAAAATAGTTAAACACCTTTTAATTGCATATCACAAGTCTGCTTTTTTGAGGTGATATAAATGCATGAAATTGGGGCCACTCCATAAAGTCCAAAATATTATAAATTAGGAAACTGAAGAAATTGCATTGATTCTTGAAGATTGGTTTCCAGGGAAAGTAGAGAAAGCAAAGAGAGAGGCACTGCCCGCTTAAAAGCATGTTTAATACCCAAATAAGATGTCTATTTTTGCATAATAGAAGACCTTGCATGTTATGTATGGACTATTATTAAATATTATTAAATTTGGACCTAATGGCACAGAGAGGCTCTCAGAAAACAAATCTCTCTCCTGTGGTCTGCTCTCCCTGGGTTTATATGTAAGCTCAATTTACTCCACTCAAATATTTTTAGGAAGATAATTAAAATATAATTAAATATGGCACTTTAGCACAATGTAAAAGCCTTCTGATGACTTCAACTCTCTTTCCCATCACACTGGCAAAAAATTAGATGAGAACTGTATAAACTGGTAGAAGAAGAGGCTGGGGGAAAATCATATTGACATCTTTTTAAAACTACTAGGTTTCCCCACCAAAAGAAAAGGCCCCAGCTTTGTCTTCCCTTCCTAAGACTTAGTGGTGAAAATCTCCAAGGTGGGAAGTTTCATAGTTAAGGTACTTAGGACCTCATGAGATGTAGTGGACATTCATTGTCCTCTGGCTCCTCAGCATGTTTCTTCTTCTGATAACTGTCCCTCAACATTCCTTGAGGGAATCACCTATCTCCAATTTCTGTGTGTTTTTAGGATGTGCTTGATCCCATCCATAGAGAGACTAGCATGTTATGTAGGCCTACCAAATCACTGTACTCTATTCCTTAGCTGTGGTGGTTAGGTCAGGAATGGATATGTGATCCAGATTACACTCAATGAGACCTGGCCCTGAGACTTTTACTGGAACTACTGGAAAAGAGAAGTGCTCTTTCTGCTGGGATGGCTAAGCTGGGGGAAATGGACTCAAGAGCCTGCTTAAGAATGAAACCAACTAACTGGAAAGTAAGGCTGAGTGACATAAGGGAGTTACAGGGTCCTAAAAGCATGGTATGAACCCCTGGATATAGGTAGTCTAGCAAGTCCAGAGACAGGTCAACAGATTAATTTCTGGATTATTGTAAGAACCAAAAAACTCATCCTTCCTTTTAGATTTTAGTTTGAATTGGGTTTCTATCAGTTGCAACCAATAGAGTCCTAACTAACACAGTGGAAGAACTGTGTGAGGGAAAGTCTGTTTATGAGGAAATCTATAAAAGACTTCATAAATATGCTCCCACGTCAATCAACCAAGACAACGCATTAAGGTCAAGAATATCTGTGATGTTTTATAGAATCTAATTTTGCAATAATGAGTAAACTGCCATTAATTTCCATTTGTAATCTCCCACTAGAAACTTTTGCTGGCTCTTCCTTCCTGTAAATTTCAATAAGATGCTTGTACATTCATTTTACCTTGATGTAGACAAATACACATAATAAAGCATTCTCTGTGACTCAAACTGATACCCATACAGTCAAGAAAGAGGCACACAGACATACACAAATAACCACATATGACAGAACTTTATGTAAACTAGCCTCATCTTCACACAGACTATAATAAGGGCTTTATGCTCACCTGAAGCATGGATGATTTAGAAAGACAATTTAAGAAAGGATTTAGTGACAATAAGACGTACTGGGAATAGATTACTAGGAAAGGTTGCAAACTCAACTTCTCTGATACACTGTAAATGTAGGATAGGAACCCTTACTTTCTAAAACCAGCTATGTTTTAGGGCAAGAAAATATTCTAGACCAATGGTTCTCAAACATGTTGACATACCAGAATCACCTGGAGGGATGATATACACACAGTTTTCTGCCAGGATAGCCAAGTTGGGAGAAATGAAGGCAGGTCCTGTTCTTATACCTTCTGCCTTACAACCTGCCTTCTAGCCCCAGGATCTAAAAAGAATGCTAAAGACCAAGTGTATGTATATGTATACATGTATGTATGTACATATATAATATACATACACACTTTTTTATTTGTGCCATTATCTCCTTAAATCCCCACAATCACCCTATGGAATAGGTACTATTAAGCAGTGAAGCAGTTACAAGTGCCATGTCTCTTATTACAGATTAGGAATATAACATTTAAAGAGTTTAAATACTCTTCTCAAGGTCACACAACAGGGCAAATCCAGGACTCCAAACCCAAGACTCTTAACCATCCCAAATACAGATATGACAGCTATGCCGTGACTGGTGCACAAAATTAATAACTGAACTTTACTAAAAGCATCCTTAGAGAATTGGACAGAATACTACTACTCACAAAGGGAAACTAGGTGATGGAAATGGCATTCCTAAAAACAAAGACATGTGTCATAGAGAGCTGGAAGTAGTCTTTATTTAACCCCTCAGAAGCCAATTTTAGAAAAAAAAGGAAGAAAGAGAACTGTTGCCCACTTATTTTTAAAATTTACATACAAGAGACTCTATATCCTCCATTAATAAAAAGGCATATCTCAATCTCTTCCTTTAATAGCTAATTCAAATCCCAACAGATGCCCTAAATGCTAATGTATGGCCCAGGGAAGGGCAACCTACAGGCGTCTAACACGTGTCGTCAATAGCCACAGTAATGGGGGTGGAGAGAAAGGGAGTAGCTTTTTCCAGTGTGTAAATTACATAAACCCTTTTTTTTTCTTCTGTTCACACTAACTCCAACTAAACAGCATCAAAAACTATATCCTTTTGGAAGTACAGGACACAAAAAGCCATCTAGAAATAGCAGCAATCTGTATATTATGAAGAAAAGATTATGGTAAGAAAACAAAATTACAAGTGCTTGTAAAGGGGAGTTTAAGAAACTTCCCCTACCTTTGTAACAAAAATGACTATACAACCTCAGGTCCCTTCCCAGTTCTGATTCACTTTATTTTCCCTAGGACATGCTTACTGGGAAGTTATATTTTTGTCCTGTTAATAAAATCAGGAAAACCTCATGATGTCACACTGGTTATTTATATCACAATTCTTTGCCAGTGTCAGTGCATCTTGTATAAGCAGATCTTTGGTCTTTCATCTCTGGCCATCAGAACCTCTAGTGGGATTGGTAAACTGCGTGAATGTTTTTAATGGCATGCATCTGATACATCACTGGTTGCCAACATCCATATGCTTTTGCAAAATGTCCTGCTGACGGGTACTGAAAAGCTAATGGAAAAATCACTCTTTGATAATAAAACATCAATGCTTGACTTTCTGGCTTAGGAAAGTTTTTTCACATTAGGGTTGGCAAATGGGGACCTACCAGGATGTCTCTCACAGAGATATACACAATCGTAAATGTCCTTCAACAATTTCTGATAGCGGTAACGTAAATGAGGATAACTTTACAGATACTTAGCACGTTGATGCTTTTGGCAGGTCTTTCACGTTTTTGTATTCACATTCCTCCTAATTTATGGCAAGGAAAGCCTTCTGGTTCCCTAAAAAATAGGAGCATTCATTTATTGATCCCCTACTGGGTGCCAGTTATTGTACACAGAGAATACATGAAAAAGACTCATCCCAGCCTTCAATCCTCAGTCTGGTGAGCACCGAAGAATAGCAAGCAAATAATTAAAAAACCAGTATTAGCCTAAATAACCAAATACTGTAATGGAAGTTTGGAAAGAGGACAATGTAACCAACTGCTTTGGAGGCTGAGGGAATCTTCCCAGAAGAGGTGACATTTGAACTGAATGTTGAAATAAAGGTAAGAGTCGCTTAGGAAGATGAGGGGGTAAGATGTTCCAAAACAAGGGGTGTGTGCAAAAACAAGACATATTAAAGAACATGGTATTCCTGGGGTTCGAAAAGTACTTTAGCAAAACTAAACAACAAATGCATGAAGGGGCATGTCAGGAATAGATACTGTAAATACAGCCAGTGGCAGATTCTGAAGGGTCTTGTATAGCATACTGAGGAATTCGAATGTGACTTTATAGGCAAGAGGGAGCTCTTTATTACAGGGTTTGAAACAATTCAGCGCTAAGCTTAAGTAGATGGTATATTCAGTGTTACCTCATCTCACTGAGATCAAAACAAAGTAAAACCTTGGTTAGTCTGTGCCATGAGAAACTTCACTGAAGTACAAAGGAGTATTTTCTGACAGTAACATTTGCTCGATATTGGAATGTGTTCCTGAGGGAGGTTGGCAAATCACCTAAGGGGGTCTTTAAGAATAGACTAAATTATAATTTGTCTTAGATGCTTCAGATGTGATTACCCGTTAGGGGAATGGGATTGACTCCAAGTCACTTCCAGACTTACAGTTCCATTGTTCATAGAATACTGTAGTGACTAGAGCTCTGGGTTGGCTAGCAATTTGGACATGATCCTATAGTTGCAGACTGATTACAAGATTACAGAAGCAGAATGTTCACTTGAGAAATATGCATAGAACGAAAACCATATGCATGGGAAGCTATTAATCTAGTAAAGGTAGAGCAACCTGGTTTATGAGAGAAGTGAATTTTCCCCTTACTTTCTCATAGGTTCATGATATATAACTTTGACGTAACTCCATTTGTCTGAAGGCTATCTGAACACGGGAGCTGGTACCATCAGGGATGAGGAGACACAATAATGAGCTAAAGCAGAAATAAAGGAACTTATCCTAGATTTACTGAATATAGGGGGTGCCTTGTGTCATTGCCCAGGAAATTAGTTAAAACTAGGTATTACTGAAGGTGCCCTCTGAGACTATTAATAACCCCCAGAAATTTTATAGTTTTAGAGTTAAGAAAGAACATCCACATGCATTACCTTAGCTGCTCTTCCCAAGAAAACTGAGGT